TTATATACACTCTTCTTTCTATTGTAGTTTTAAGTTTTTCTCTATCATTCTTAATTCAGTCGCTATCGACGAAAGAAAATTTTAACTTCAAATGGATTCAGCACTTTCGATTTTGAAGATATGAAATTATATGTAAAAGCTTCCACCAGAAAGCCAAGAAAATTCTGATCAAAAGTTATCTAATGAGGTCTTATGAAAATCATTAAAGTAGTAATAAAAATCTATAATCCATACAGTATGGACCATACTATGGAGCCTAAGTACCGAGGGCGAGAGATTTCACGACGGAGAGCGAAATAGATTGGGGCATTTGCGCGTGTTTTTCTCGTCCCAATCTTTTTGCTATTTTTGGCGCGCATCTTGCGCCACGTGGGAGTGGGTCCTCCGCGAAGAACAACAACAACCCCCGTCTAGAAACATTTTTCACAATTCACCTCTCTCAATAATTGACCTTAGAAACTTCTTCTTCCTTCAATTTTTATAACTTTGATTTTGTTTTAATAATAAATAAACTAAATAATAATAATTTGTAAATAATAATCAAAGAAAATCTTTAAATTAAAAATATATTCAAAACCATAACATAATTGAAAACTTGATCAATTTGAATTTTAAAGACGATGGGTGTGGGCGGGGTTGGGGACTGAGATTGATCACCTCGGAGTTCCCAGCCATTGTCAAGCCCCTTAAATTTAAAAATCATGGAACGGGGCTGAGACGGCCCGAAGGGCCGTCAAGCCCCTTAAATTTAAAAATCATGGAACGGGGCTGAGACGGCCCGAAGGGCCGTCAAGCCCTTAAATTTAAAAATCATGGAACGGGGCTGAGACGGCCCGAAGGGCCGTCAAGCCCTTAAATTTAAAAATCATGGAACGGGGCTGAGACGGCCCGAAGGGCCGTCAAGCCCTTAAATTTAAAAATCATGGAACGGGGCTGAGACGGCCCGAAGGGCCGTCAAGCCCTTAAATTTAAAAATCATGGAACGGGGCTGAGACGGCCCGAAGGCCTGAATTTTTAGGGTCTTCCAGGAAGGCCGGTCTTCCACCAGAAAAGGTCCTCCAGGGGTCCTCCAAGAGTCACATGATCAAGATTTTTTAAAATTTTTATCTATTTATAAGTTAAAGATTAAATAATCTTAAAGAGTCTAGGTTAGACCTATCTTCCATCAATTGGGTCTTCCACCAGATAAAAGTCCTCCATTAGGCATGGGAAAATACTTGAATGTGCGCGAAATATTCAAAACCCCGGCCCGGGCCCTCAGACTCCGTCGTGATATCTCTCGCCCACGGTAGTCTAAGAGTAGTCTAAGAGTATGGACCATAGTTATTAGCGCATACTTAGCGGGAATCAAGCGCAAACAAGCCAAAATATTGCCTCGCGCAACGCGAACGCCCGCTGTGGAACCGATCCACTCTGGAAAAGCTCACCATCCACTCGGCAGGTGATTGTTATCATAACCCCATTAGGTAACTTAAGTACAGAATTTTCTCGGCTTTTCGGTGAATCAAATTTCGTTGAGAACAAATAAAGTTTTCAGGAGTTTATTCCTTTTGAAGTTGAATTTCTCTTTTTCACTCTAGCTCAAGAATTAATTGTGATGAGGAAAATCTGAAAGTGGGAGGTGAAGGCTGAGAGAATGTAGATATGTTTAACAAACAAAAATTTCGAAAAACTTTTCTGAAACATCAATGGCGACCGCGTGAAGTAGGACTTCGCGTTACTCGCCCGGGTACTCCTATACATCGGCGCGGCGCTGCTAGCTCGGTCCGCGCTCGGCCAGAACCTCGGCGGGATCGAGCCCTTGGAGCCCGTGAGCGCTGAAAAATGTTGCTCCCGAATTTTTGGGGAGGGCGCACCTTGCGCCCAAGAGTTTTGTTCGCGCGCGCGGTTTGACTTGGCCGCTCCCGGCGCACGCCCCCGCGATTTGGAGCCCTGCTTCTGACAAAATTAAGATCTAGAATAGTTCTTTATTTGGAAATGATTAGAAACCTTCCACCATTTACAGGTTTTCAGGAATACGGCCTCAAACGTAGCCTGATCGATACCCGTAGCCTTAACCCGTTGCCGAGCGCGTAGCATCCTGAATGTTGGATGAAAAATTAACATTGAGAATTCTCGAAGATTTTTTGATTTTAAAAATTTCAACTTTTCTCAAATAGATCTTACGCTTTAAAATTATAAAAATATTGTTGTATGCCGCTAGAAAATGGAAAAGAAAAGTGAAGTCAGCCCTCGCGGCGCTGCCTTTCTTTTGTTTTACAGCGCGCCATCGTCTTTTCTCTAGACTTGAACAATGGCGCCGCTGAAGGAACCCTCATTATTTCGTGATTTTCGGTCTTTTACCTATTCGGAAACTTTGTGAAAAGGTATGAATCTAGTAGCTAAGGCTTTAGTGAATACCCACAATTAAAAATTATGAATAAAGACAAAGTAAAAATGGGAGAAAAATGCGCTCAAAGTCGTAGCATTTAGGATGCTACGCGAGCGGCAAGCCAATGTAGCGGAGCGCTCGGCAACGGGTTAAAGTGGACATTTTCATTATTAGGGTTAGAAAAATCCGTCGCCACAAATACCATAGACATCGGTTTCAAGGATCTCCATCGAGACGAGTATCAGGCGAAATTGCATCTCGCGAAGCAGGAGGACAAGCACGTTATGCACAAAGGCATGCTTGTGCCTACCAAGAAGACAAACTTACGCGTGAAAATCCTCCTCCACGAGCAGAATATTCTGCAGCAAAATCCGCTTCCCTAATGAGCAAAAACTGCTTTCATCGAACCAGGGAATGGGAAACGGTCGGTTACAATACCAATTGGTATTCCAATACCAATTTTGGTATTCCAATACCAAAGTCGGCAAAAAATTGCCAATTTTTTAACTTAAAAGTCGGTTGTGCGCTTCGCGCCTGTATTATAAGATACCTAAGGAGTGTTTTTAATAATTTCTTTGGCAAAAAGTCCAAATTTTTTAAAAGAAGTTGGTATTGGAATACCAATTTTTGGTATTGGAATACCAAAAAAGCTTTGGTATTGTAACCGACCGTTCCCGTTTTCTTGGACATATTTGCAAGGATGTTCCATTTTTGTGGACATTTGTCCAGCCGAGAAAATTTAAAAGGAAAAAATAGGGTGTTTTTTTCAAAAATCAGGAATTTTTATTAGAAATCAATGGCTTTTACTGTTTAATTGACCAAAAATGGTGAAAAAAGGTAAAAATACGTTTCAATGATGAAATTTGCCATTTTTCAAAGAAAAATTTATCAAAGAAAAATTTTGAGCCCCTATATCATATAGGCTATATGTCAAGAAAAGCCGAGATCCCTAGAAAAAATGATGACAAAGAATGCGACGAGCACGTAAACCTTCGAGGTAGAAGGTTTACGTGTTTAAATTTAATCCATTTAAATTAAAAAGCCAGAGATCGCTTACTTATATCCAAAAATAGTAATTTTGCTGACAATTGGAGGTGCCAGACCTATTATATGTCCCACAAAAACCCTATAAAATGAAGAAGATGTCCACGAAATTGGGGTCAACAAAAGAGGAAAAAACTGTACCAATAAAAAATAGAAAACGACTAGGACTCATTATTTGAAATTCCGATTCCGAAACTCACAACGTACCCAAAAAATTGAGATTGAATTTACGCCGAAGTAGCATTTGAAAAATATCTGTCTTATTTTTATTTAACAGTTTTATTTTACAGATAGAAACATTGTAAAATTAAGTAGGAGCCTCTGACAAATTTCCAAGTTTTTGAGGGTAATCCTATACATCGGCGCGGCGCTGCTCGCTCGATCCGCGCTCCTCCAGAACCTATTTTCACTAGGCCATAAAATTCGAACGGAGTGGGATTTTCAAAATTCAAAGATTTGTAATCCTTTAACTCTCTTCTATTGCTCTAACAAAAATGAAAAAATCGGCACTGAGAAACTATCAGAAAACCGCCGGTTTCTTTTAAAAGACATTTCCCGCCATTTTTCTCATTCAAATTTCACGAAAATCAGATGGTCTTGTAGAGAATCGTCTATTCTTCTCTGCTGGAGCGCGCCGTGAGAAATAGGAAGAAAAGAGGCGCTAAGAAGCATAGCGCTGATTCTCTACAAGACCATCTGATTTTCGTGAAATTTTAATGAGAAATGTGGCGGAAAATGTCTTTCGATGGAAACCGGCGCTTTTCAGATAGTTTCTCGTTGCCGATTTTTTCATTTTTGCTAGAGCAATAGAAGAGAGTTTAAGGATTACGAATCTTTTGAATTTTGAAAAATCTTACTCCGTTCGAATTTTATGGCCTAGTGAAAAATCTTTCCTAGTAAAAGGTTCTGGCGGAGCGCGGATCGAGCGAGCAGCGCCGCGCCGATGAATAGCGGTCGTCACTTCCAATCTTTCGGGATCGCTCGAATCATTCGGGAGTTTTGGTGGGGATCACGCTATAAAAAAGTGGTATAAATGCCGAATTCGGGCATTTGCCGAATCAAAACGATAATTCTATCTGTCTTCGTCAAATTCGATGGTCTTAGAAGGCCAGACCTTTTATCAATGGTGAATTCGCAGTGAAAGAGAATGTGTTCGCTCCGCGCCTGTCTTATAGAGAATTTCATGAGCTTTAGATCCACTTATTCGAGTAAATTATTAAAGGGTTAGCGCATTCCGGGCGAACCCGTTGAACTCTGATACTGATCAGTGGGACGTTGCGCGCGCAGTGCCAGTCTCGGCTGGCCAGTTGTCTCTCGAATAAAGTAGAAGCAGCAGCTAAAAACTAGAATTGTTGTCTTTTATTCCCAGGAGCTAGAGTCTCAGTGGGAGAGTGTTTCCAGCAAATGCATTGACCCTTTATTATTTTCTTTTTCGTCAAGCCTTAATTTGCTTCAATAAAGACGTACTTTGACGTAACTGTATGGCTTTAAATATTTTCTGGGTCAGAAATTACTGAAAATCATAGCTTTTTCCGAAGAGCCACAAAAGGCGAAGGACGAGTTCGTGATCTCGCTGCGAGAAGGCATGATCGCCGTCTTCAAAGCGGTTTTTGCGACATTGTTCACGGAGCTGCTCCCGATGCTCATGGACCCGGAGAGGCTTCAGCGAGGCACGCTTACTCGCGTTGTTGCGAAGTTGAAACAGGGTCTGCTCGATTCCGTCGGTGATAACGTCGGGGCTGTTCGCATCTCTCGATGGTTGGAAAAGGCGAGATCTACGCAATCCAGCCTGTCGCGACACGAAGCTGTTGCCTCCCTGCGAAAAGTCTTTCCCACCTCTTCCGACATCGTGCCCAATGCCTACAAGGTTTGGGGACTGGCTGAGATCGACAAGAAGATCGCCAAGGGCATCTCCAACTGGAATGATGCCTCTCAAGCGGCTGCGCCGAGCTCTGAAACGGAGCCTTACTTTCCTAAAGTGACTGCGGTCGGGCAGGTTAGCCCATACCAGTCCATGTCTTTCACTGAACAAGCCCGCAGTCACTACTTCTGACTTTCCCTGCCGTCAATGCTGCCCCAGGTCGTCTTCTGCTTGCTTTTCTGATTGCAATTGCCAGTTGAAAAAGATATTGATCTTTTTCCTTCAAAAACCCTTTTTCAGAAGGATAAAATGAAAGAGGGTAATTGCTTGCCCACAGCTGCTGCAGCGTCCGAAACCTTTTCCAACTGGGCAACAGAATCGATCCGAATGAGTGATAGCGTCTCACAGAATAGCTGGGTGCCTAGCGAAGGAGAAGCAGCTTCCGTGGATACAGGAATTTTCTCCAACTGAGCTGTCCATGACATCTGAAGCTGCAATGCTTATGACTACAACTCCCAAAGGTTTTTCAACTTGTACTTCAGATTCAGAAATCAAATGGGGAGAGTCGCTCGAGAAATGGCGGAGCTGGTTCAAAACGGGCGTTACAATGTTAAGAAAAGGGAGAGAATTAGAGCGTGCTCTTTAAACCAGTCCCCGGAGGATGAGAATGCCCCCTTTGGTCCAACGGAGATTGGCACGCTTATGGGTGGAAAGCCTTAGATTTGATTATTCCGCTTTTAGAAGGGAAAATTACTTCATCGTGGGATATGGTCAAATTTAGGTCGGAGAAAGATTTTGTCTGCGGTACTTTTTGCGAATTTAATGATGTGTGGCTGCCAATGATCAACCTTATGCCGCTTGAAGTTAGAGGGCAGTTATATCACACGGTATTTAACGAAGTTAATTTGTTTGATAACCTCGACAGGATTGATCCACCCAAATTTGTGTGGTATAAGAACCACAAGGTCTGCACCTTTTATACCAGAAACCCGGATAATAAAAAGCTCCTAGCTTATAGGGGTAAGAATGAGCCCAGAGCGAAGTCGGGGAATATGAATACCCCAGAAATGTTTAATATCCAGTTTTTGCTTCTGGACCGCTCAAGGGCAGCCCTTTTCGAGTTGAGAATAGAAGGGACATTGGAAGTTTCCATGAGCCCATTCTTAAGCAGCTTATAAGCTGGGCAGACAGTTCTTCGGTAGAAGTCGTCGATAAAACAAAAGTCAACCCCTAGCTTCAAGCAAATATGGTTGTAGTGCCGAAACAAGGCGCAGACAAGGTCCGAATCTGCTACAACGGGGGCCCCCTGAAGGTCATAGAAAAATTTACCCAGCCTTGTAGGCTGGATAGTTGAGCCGAAGTGTTGCACTTTATCCGCAAAGGGGACCTTCTGTCAAAATTAGACGATAAGAGTGGCTTCTTCCACCTCAAGTTGGACAATTTTAGTAGAGAATTGGCCAGCTTTTTCGCTATAATGCCGGGGCGTTTGGGCTGCCCAAGCTCCCCGGCATTTATCAGCTGGTTAATAATACGCCAGTTAACTTTCTAAGGCATTTCGGGATTCATATCTTTTTGTATTTGGACGATCGCCTCATCATTTTGCGCCCTAAGAATAAAATCGAGGCAAAGGCTATTAAAAAGGACAGTCTTATTAACGACAGCAGTTGGCACTTTTCTTAACAGAGAAAAGAGTGACCTTCTTCCAAAATCAGAATTGGAGTTCTTGGGTTTTACCCTGAACACGGATAGGTGCACTTTCCGGATTCCAAATGATAAATGGCAGCGGTTCTGCTCAACCCTCACCAAAATACTAAAGGGAAAGTCCACGCAGTGGCCCTCGAAAAGCTCAGAGGAAAAATGGCTAGCTTTTCGTTGGTAGCGCTTAATATGCGCATGTATATTAGGGAAACGACCAATGCCCTGGTCAATGCGACTGATGAGTGGATCAAGGTAGAAGGTTGCTGAAAGATGAGTTGCGAGCTTGGCTTGAGACTCGTGTGATCCTCAAAGAGAGATCATGGCTGAAACCTGGTCTGAACACGGTTAAAACAGAGGTTTGCACTGATGCTTCAAACTCGGCTGCCGGGTTATACATTCAGTCCGAAAAGCTGGAATTGTCAGTTTCATGGCCGGAAGGTCACAGCATTGCAACTCAGTCGATTTTCGCTAAAGAAGCTTGGGCTATCTTGTATCTTATCAAGACTTTTGGCTCAAGATTTGAAAATTCCAGGCTGATGCTCTATAACGACAATCAGAACGTGGTTGATACATTTTTGGTGGTAGTCGGAACATGTACATCAACAACATTCTTGAGGAGATTCACATGCGAGCTCAAGACCATAATATAAAGATGGAAATAAGCTGGGTTCCCACTACTGATCAAAAAGCCGATGCGGCGTCAAGAACTCAAGACAACAAGGAAGCAATTTTTCGTGAGAGCGCCTTCTTGCGAGTTCAAAAGACCTAGGTCTTTGCTTTTCCCTTGATGCTCTGGCTACCGAGGCCAACACCAAATGCCCCTGTTTTATTACAAGAAAAAGAGCGAGAGATCCTTCGCAACCGATTTCTTCACGGTTAAAGACTTCGGCAATCATGTGATCTGGGCTTTCCCCCAAGGCCTATCACTACGGCAGTTTTTCTTATCTCCAAAAAGCAGCGAGAAAAAACTTGTAGGTTTTAGTTATTGCGGAACTCAAACACATATCTCCCATTTGGCCAGAAATTTTAAATCTCCCTTATTTCAAAAGAATAGACTTGGATTACAACGAGCCTCCAGTCATGTACCCGTCAGCAGACTTGGACAGCGAACTCGGCTATTGGCGAATTCCGAAGAGAGTGCACTTCTCGCTGCTTCTGCATTCTCCCGAAAAATTTGCCTCAGTTCCTTTCTTCATGAGTCCTTTAAAAAGTCTTCCTATCCTCCTCTGAAAACTTTTAAATTTTGAACCATCGTTAATTAGAATGTCGCTTCCGACGTTTCTGCCCTTGAATGCCTCGACGGATAAGGCGATAAGACAACGCTGCGACAGATGGAGCTGAAAAATCCACCACGCCCATCTCGGAGCAAGACTACCGGAACATCTTGAATGGTCAACTGGCCGATCACGACTACAGGTTCATCTACGATCTCCTGGTCGACTCCAAAGAGGCAGTTAAGGAAAACATGCAGAGCATCAACGTCGCCACTAAGGAACGAGCGGAGGCGGTTCGAATCTACGATATCTGGAAGCGTTGCGAATCTTGGGTTGCCCAAGGTAATTTACCTTCTGGTTATTACTCCTCGTTGTTTCTTAAGGGAACAAGATACACGTGGATGACCAGCCTAATTGGGATCGTGACGCTGAAGACGTCAAGTCAGCTGTGGACAACGAAGAAGCTAAACTGCGATCTCTTCCCTCGGAACGCCTCAAGCTTCAAGATGCGCTTCAAAAGAACGAGGCCAATTTGAAGAAGTTCGTGATGCATAACATGCAGAGCTCTTTCGTCTTTGAGCAAGGGGGATCTTACTTCCAAGTCAGCCTGGGTGCGTCAAAACTTCGGCAGCCGAAGCACAAAAACCTGGATTACCTGGGCATTGAACTCCGCAACATTGTCACGGACGAGGATACCGTTCGCTCGCTTAAGTTCAAAGATGTTTCCACCTTCATCAGAACTTACACCGAAGCGGCGGGCCACATGCACAGCGACTACCACAACCTCACCCGCATCAAGTTGGAATTGATGAACAACCCGCGAATGTCGAGATACGCCTGCTTGAACTTCATCAAATCCATCTGTGATTTGAGCTTGCAAACCGACATGGTGGCGCTGGTCAATCGCCTTATCCTCGATCCAGAGGCGAAGAAGGATCTGAGCAACAGCGTCGACCCTGCTACTTCAAACGAGCAGCTCGTCAACCAGAAGAGGGCTCCCTTCATGACGAAGAAAAACTACCAGGAGACCCTCACCAAATACGCGTCAGAAATGACCGCCGAGCAGAAGAAAGAGTACGGCTACATTGAGCCGAAACGTCAGCGATCTCGTCAGCGTCAGCGCAACCGAAATGGCCGAGGTCGTGGTGGAGCTCGCAGTCACTGGGGTGGCGGATCATGAGGTGGTATCTCTTCCAACTGGGGGAACTCTGGTGGCATTTCCGGCCAATGAAACAACAACTACCGTGGCCGAGGTAGAGGTAGAGGCTTGTACCGTGGTGGCGCTCGCTCTGGACAAGCGCCTTCTGCAGACAACAAATCGCCGCCGAAATAACTTCTGGTCTTCTTTAAAAGAGCTACTAAGCCCAATTCCCTTTCCGGAGTCACCTCGACTGCCTGGGTAGCATACCATTTATCCTAGCTCATTTATTCTCCAAATTCTTCCTAAACTAATTTGATTAGTTTCGTTTAGTCCTTTTAGCGCTCTTTAGAATGAGCGACAAGCGAAATTCTTTTCCTCTCAGCCCGTTTGAGCGAATGTCGCAGAAGGAGCGGATTAACTGGGTCATCTCCGAATGGAGAAAATCTGTTAAAAACAAGAGAAAAGCGGCCACTCCGGGGATGATGAAAAAATTCCTAGAAGAACTCGAGGTTCAGAACCCGAGTTCTCCAGTAGGATGGTCCGTCCTTAAAAGGGCAATCGAGTTCGGGGTTTCGGAATATCAGGGAAAGGACCTGATCCCTGGTGCCAGGGCTGAACTCAAGCTCTGGAGCAACGCAAGAGTGCGGGCGCAGGCTTCGGAAGATTTACAGTAGCCGAAGCAAGCGCCCGCATTCTCCGAAGGCCAAACCACTGATCTCTGCAAAGAAATGTGGAGATCTGACAACAACAAGGCCAAGCAGGCGACCGTAGTGGCGGGCCTATCTTTTTACACCGGAGCCCGCACTATTGAGATCTGCTCGTTGTACATCGAGGATCTAGAGGTGACTCAATCTGACGAGGCCCTCTTCATCTCGATGCCTTTGCGTTTTTCCAAAGGTAACCCCAGGAAAGAGCGCAGAGAAAGACTTGCGCTCCCGATCTTGAGCTCTACCCCCATCCCGCTCATGACATGGCTGAGGTCAAGCCATATCCTGAATGGGAGATCAAAGGGCCGACTGTTCTCGGTGAACACTCGTAACTGTAACTATCATAACAAGGCTGCTGCAGCTCGCTTAAACTGGGATACAGCTCCGAGTGGACACTCTTTTCGAGTCAGTTTTGTCCTTAACGCTCTTGTTGCAAGAGCCTCAGAGGACGACATTATCCAAGCTTGTCGCTTGCGTCACGGTGACATGCTTAATATTTACCGAACGTAGCTCCATAATACGATCCATGGGGCCCCCTTCAGGATTGTCAGGGCAATCCGAAATCAAGCGGGTGGTGAGGATTCCCCCTTATCTTGCCAACCTCTCGCCACCCCCGCTCGCTCGATCAACGGCAACTATGTTTGAACGGGACCAGGCACAGTCCTCTTCTACCCCCGTCGAAGCTTTGGATGCCGAAGTCTCCGTGGGGATAGAAAAGATTGACCTTACAAATGAGTCGGCCGCTCCCCTAAAAGCTTATCCAAACAACGCTCAAGGTGGTGAAGAAGGAAAAATCCGCTCTTCCGAAAGTCGAAGTCAAAAATTTTCCTGAGCTTTGAAATTTGGAAAATATTTGCTTGGGCAGCCCAAGCTCTAGTTTGCTTTCCGGATCAGTGTTTTTCTAAAAATTCCGCACGTTTAGACTACTCTGTGACCATGATCCGCTTCCCAATTACCCGATATGGCTCCATCGATTTCAATAACTTGGATGAAATGAATTTTTCATTCAAGCTGCAGCCGATTCCGGTTGCGCGAGGAAGTAACAGAGGCTCTGCTTACTGGGGACTCATTCGCCGGGGAGCGGCAGCCGCTATCCACCCCTTCTCCCTTAACCTTGTTGGAAAGGTGATTGGCGACTTGGTCGCGAGGTTTGTCACCCACGGCTTACCGATTTTTGATACTCCACTTTAGCAGCTTGCTTTGTGGTCATCAGACCACCAATCTTGGAGATCTCTTCCGACGGGAAATCGCTAAAGTGGAACAAGAAATGGCCATCTTGTTCAAGCTCGTGGTTGGCGAGGAAGTCGACGAGAACACCGCCAACGCCGACTGGGCTATCCAGCGCATTGATGAGCTGCGCGGCTTCTTTGCTAGAACTGAGCGTTCCATCTTCGTCTGAACCTGCAAAAAATGGTGAAAGTGGACTTTCCAGCGTTCACCGCTGACCCAAGGTAGTCTCTCTCGCTCCGTTTCATTAACTCTTTGCATTAGCAACTGGCCCCAATACAAACTGTTTTCGGAACGCCTGGTTGCCATTGCGAGGGACTCCTGGTGCGAAGTCGCCGCTTTCTGGCAACGCTCCTTTCGAGTGAATCGAGAGGGATATTGCCCTGAATTGCTGACCAGACCGGCTCAAGAAGATACAAAGCAATTCTTCCGCGAAGTTGCGTTGGCTCTCTCTCGAGAGAACTTCCGTCGCCCAGCTCCTCTGAACGTCGTTTGGTTGGTCGAACGAGCCTTAAACTGAACTTAACTGAGCCTTTGTTTATCACCTACCATGTAAGCCTTCACTACAATTCTTGTACCTCACTCTCTAGTGCGACCACCTTTTGCTCCTTGATACTGAATCTGAGGAGAAATGATTCCCATTCTGATTGAATGGGAATGGCTTGCCCACCGGGCACAGCCAGCGGACATGCATGTGGTGCTGCGGGAGATGATTGGTCGGTACGAGCGAACTCGACCATACTTGTCCTCGAAGATCGCCTTTGTGATTCACATCGCTCACACTAACGACTGGCGAATCCCTGTCGCTCGGCGGCCTCGCAGCTGGAAGAACTTCTCCGAGCCCCCTCGTCTCGATGAGTTCTCCCTCTACGATGAGGAAGACGTTCCAATTTCCAAACGGGAAAGGGTAAACATTTTAATGTGGTTGATTCAAGCTAACCAATCCCTCAGATGGAGTCAAGAAAACGTCGCCCTAACAAGCGATTGCGACTCAACCTGCAGCGATCTGCCCACGAGCTGCAGATGTAAGCTAGATTTCTCGGCGGTGCGGTTTATTTGTCTCAACCTGCTTCCGAACCCGAGAAGAAAGATTGAAATATTCTTGAGACCTCGGGGTCATTTGGGTTGCCCAAGTGGCCCCTTCTTCTTTGTCTGCTTTTCTACTCAGTAGATTTATTTTCAAATAAAAAAGGGTTAAGTTCTCAAATTTTTGGAGTTTCTTGGTTTTATCTTTAGCGAAAGAAAAGATACCATTTACAGTCGAGGCTTTGCATTAATATCCGAATATTGGATAAGATAGAATGTTTTCACTCTCCAATTGTTTGTAAAGTCGTTCTTTACTGTAATAATTTACAGTATTTTCTATCCTCAGATCCTCCCGCCCCGGGGCCTGAGTGAGTACGCGATATGTCAAAAATAAGGAATCTTCTTTAGAACCCGGGGCGCGAGGATCCGTGCATTGAAAATACTCGCCATTCTGTTTTTAATGCGAATTAGTGGAGCGGCTCCAGAATTAATTCGCGTGAAAAACAACTCCTCCTGATTGGTTGAGATATCCCAAGTCAGTAGAGTTGAAGTTATTTTTACGCGCTTTAGATTAATTCTGTCGATGTACTCCTCTCATGCTGACAGAATATTATTACGTACCCACCCACTCCACCCGGGTATCTTTCCTTTCTTTATGGTAAAGAACGATATCAGTTTTCACTCTCCAATTGTTTGTAAAGTCGTTCTTTACTGTAAGAAATGACTTTAAAAGTGTAAAAGAAAGCCTGCCAAAATATTTCTCCGAAAACAGTGGAAAAAGGTGAAAAAATTTCGGCTGCTACAAAAATATTAATCAGAAAATAATCTCACCATATTTCGGCAGTTTTACCGAAACATTTCTCCATACTACCCTTAAAGGAGTTAATGGAGTTAATGGAGAGGTTTTGAAATAAGAGCTACACGGTCGTGAGGCGCACAGCGTGAGACAAAACGCGGCGCGGCGTGAAAGCACTTGTTTTTAACGGAACACTACAAACCTATCTGAATTGAAAAAACGGATAAGAATTGCGAGAGGAGATAGAGTTTTACCAACTCAAGTCATTTTCTCCAATTTACTTTTTGACGATTCTGCTAATTTTTCATCTGTAAAGAGTTAAGGCTATGATGATAGCAAATCCGACGAAATTTTGGAAAAAGCTCCATTTGTTTCGATTTTACGGCAATGCAAAAGAAGGGCACGGGAGGGCGCTAGGCGAGCGAGGCACGCCGCGCCGATTTCTTGTTCTACCCTTAAGGGGCGGGTCGACGAGAATCGGGATTTCCGTGACCAAAAATGGGAGAAAACCTAAAAGATAGGCGAAATCTGAATTTAGTGGCGAATAGAAAGGGTTGAAAAAATTAACCGGCGAAAAGTAGAAAAAATTTGGCCAGAAAAAATCGGTCAAAAATCCCATCAAAGTGGGGCCATTTTCGCGAAAATGCACCAAAAATGGTCATTTTTTTACATTTTTCCTAATTTTACCCTCTAAATCTCATTTTTATCAAATGATTTTAGGCTCAAAAGATTTGGGAGAATCTGTAGATTCCAAAAATATAAGTTTCATATCCAGACTATGAGTACAAGCGAAATTACGATCACCCCTGAAAAATTCTCGTCGACCCTCCCCTTAAGGGATCCCCTCCCGATTTGAAAAATATCATCGAGGGCTTTTATGTGATATATTTTCGGAATCTCCGTTGTCTGGCGATCATTTTCATATATTATGTCAAAGGGAGTCCGTCACGTGGCAACCCGTGACACAGTTTTCAAAATGGCTTATTTTAACGAAAAATTTTACTTAGTTTTTGACTTTTCAAAGTCGACATAATCAGATGAATATGGGCACTTTAGAAAGCTTAGAAAAAATGTATTAGAAAAAATAGATTTAATGAAATATCTAACCACTCAAAGGCGCTAGAGAGCAAAGAAAGTCGAAAAAATGGCAAAAATCAGTTAAAAAACATCTTGTTTAGAAAAATTCTACAATCCTTGACGGAATCACATGCCTGTACTAGAGATTATAGATCAGGGATCAAGGAAGACAGTTGTTATTGATTTAAGGCTCTATCTAAGAGCAGAAAATACTAGTTTGATTTTGAAAATGGCCCAAAATGGGGTTTTTCGCGAATATCAATGTTTTCAGCCCGTCTTTTCTAGGTGTTTCCCCTTATGAAAATTAATTTCTGTACTTGAGTTTGTTCATTAAGAAACGGGCTTCAAAATGAGCCATCATACTTGTAAAAAGCTCAGCCCTAAAAAAGAAGTTCGAAGTCAAAGTTGACGAAATCGGGGGATCCCTTAAGCAGAGATTTAAATTCAATAAAGTCCGAATCTGTGGGATCATGATTGAGCTCCTTTAATTTTGTTCTATCCGAAAACTTATTTAATAAAGCCTGTTGAGGTCATTTTATAAATTAATTTGATAAAATTATGTCAGCAAGCTCGCAACATTCGTTACATTTTCGTAAGAATCCCTCCTCAGGTCAGTTAATAGATTTTTAAGACTTTGATTTAAAACAGCAGCGAGAATTCCCTTTAGTCAAGGGACTCTCAACAGTTCAGTGAAAGAAATTTATATACATATATGTAAATGACATATTTTCACTCTTATTAACATGAAAAGGGTAAAGAATCATAATTCATTAACAGCTTATAAAAAAATAATAAATCCTTTATGGGATATACATAGGGATTTTAACCGGAAAGCGGCGCGCGGCGTGGCGCTTCTGGCCCAAAATGACGGATGTCTATTTCGTTCTCTTTGGGGTTCGCAATGAAAAGATTTATTTTTAGAGTCTTATGTAGGGCTCGAACAAGTCGAACCCTTATGGTCAAAAAGTGGAAACTCTCTGGTTAATTTGATAATTTAGTTATTTCGAACATTAACGGTTATATTCAGAGTCAGTTGGAGCACAGCTCAGGGGTCTGGATTCGCTTTGCGAAATCGCCATATAGCGAAGCGAAGCGAGGCGAAGCGCATTCGCTTCGCTTCGCTTTCGCTTTTGAAAATTTCAATTCGCTTCGATTCGCTTTCGCTTTTCAAAAAAATTTCGATTAGCTATAATTTGATAATTAAAATGTTAAAATCTTTTCAAATAAATCCAAAGCTTTCTTCTCAAAACCCCTAAAACCATCATTTTTGGTCATATTCAGCCACTAGGATTACGAAAAATCATAAACATGAGCAGAAGTTTCAATTTGAGTCGGAAGGAGCACAAGTGTACAAGACATTTGTGAGAAATGAGCTCATCTGCTACATTTTGATCACTAGTATTGAACCGTGTCAAGTCCCTAGAGGAATTTTTGGTCATTTTCCGATTTATGTTTTAGTTGAAGGCTGAAGAAAGCAGTCCAAAAAACTTCTGTCACCTAAAATCTAGAAATCTCCGAATGAGTAAAATCTACCTTGGTAATCTTATTTTGAGCCCTGAGTATAAAGAAAAAAATTTTTGGAATTTTATTCATCCAAAAAATGATGAAAAATTCCGTTTTTTTCGCTTTTGAAAGAAAATTTTCGCTTCGCTTCGCTTTCGCTTGTGAAATTTTAATTCGCTACGCTTTGCTTTCGCTTAAATTTTTAAAAAAATTTTCGCCTTCGCTTCGCTTTCGCTTTTCACTTTCGGGCAAAATCCAGACCCCTGCTGTCACAGCTTATAAGGTGGTCGTAAATGGTAGTGCATAGAGACGCCCCTGGTGACCAGAGGATTGTGCATCGACTTATCGAACCCCACAATTCTCGGGCCTCCGGGGACATCCGGTCAATCAGTGGTGAAGTGGCATATGTGGGAGAAAGTAAAGCGGATTGAAAAAGTTTTTGATCCATCTCTTCCGGCGGCACAAGCGGTCATTCTTTCATAGGTTCATAATAATCATGTTTATTCATTTAAGAGAATGTCAGATTTGCATCATGACTGACAATGATTATGAATTCATTTTGTCAAAAGCGCGATAACACAGCGCGATTGATGAGCGCCAGTGAGAGAAGGAGTTATGGCCCGCACTTTCTCTTTCGATCTTAAGTTCGCCAGAACACATTTCTCACTGAGAAATAAAATCGGAATGGGAAAAAGTTTTTCCAACTATTCGAAGATTTGAAAACGAACGTTTTTGCGCGGAAGTAGTGCATCATGAACATGAAGGACACGAATAAAAATAAAGATATTGGTTTGAAACAGACCACGATGATCTAGATATAACAAGTGAAAAGAAATTATTGTAAAGAATGCGTAAAAAAAAATAACCAAGTACAGTGAAAACCCATTTTAAGGCCCACCCTTTTAAGGCCACTTTTTTGGAAAGTCTCCAAAATCTGTCATCCTAAAAAAATCCACTATAAGGCCAATTTTTTTAAATTTTTTTTTTCAAAATCCGAAAATTACAGTTTCGCTTGTAAAAGCTAGCTTTTTTCGACTGTGTCTTCGGCCATTTTGAAGTCGGTGGCTTTTCAGTGTCGGCATTGTCTGTCACTTGAACTTGAGGCACTTCTTCAATCTCTATCGGAGTCCGAGGACGTGTTTCATCAATTTGAAGCGCCAGAAAACTGCTCAACCAATTCTTCTTCATGACCAGAACATTTTCTGCAATATCGAGATCTTCAAACTGCTCGATTTCTTCTCAAAAATAAGCCTCTTGAAATAGTCCTGTGTTGATCCATGATCGCTTGAAGATTGCGGGGTTCAAGTGCAAGAAAATTTCGATGGATATTTTCGATCCATTTCTCTTATATGTTGTCAGAAAAATATTTTTGAAAGAATGAAAGGGAGAATCACCAAGAGTCAAATTTAAAGAACACATTTGGAATCATACTTGATTCGGGCGATAGAAACATGCGGTAGACTCGTGTAATGATTATACACTACAAAGTGATTTTTATCTGAGATGTTTATTCCAGAAAAATGAAAAGTAGAATGATGCATTCAAAAAGGTGCACTCGTTTTTATAGTTGGTTTCGTGTTCATTGACTGATTCCGTGGACTCGGAGAATTCGGAGTTCACGAAAATG